CAGAACAATGCACGGAAGTCAATATCAGAGAGGCTGAACAAGTTTTGAAAGTGGCTTTTGCTCCCTAACAGCTACAGATGACCACCAGCATAACCAGAATGACAGTGGCAGAGGATTTGAGCTCTACACTGCTGGCATGGGTGGCCACTCATCCATGAAGCCTGCACTTGGAGCTTGCACTGACAGCACACCAGCTCTTACCCAGGAGAAAAGCTGTACTGTCAGTGGGGAAGAAAGATGAGGCATGCTTCATCATCAGAAAGTTCATCCCAGAGAAAACTGCTGTCTAGAGGTTTGCTAAGGAGAATCCAGTCCTGTTCCTGCTCTGAGTGTATCAGGTTTTGAAGGTTTTGTGCAAGCCTTGAAGTAATTTCCACTGCTAAATGTAAACAAGGCTTTCAGATAGTCCTGTGATGTCAGGATGTAAAGACCAAATGAGATCCATTTACAAAAGCAGAATGAATATTTAAATAAAAAGCAGCCACCATCAAAAATTTTTTAAAAATGCTGTTTTGGTTAATGCAACATACTGTATTTCTGCCAACAAAGGCAGTTTCTGATCAGGACATGCTGTGTTTTCCTCTTGGGATTTTACAGGCAGGGTGGTCTTCCAAGACGGGAAAGGGCTTAGTTAACATTACACATCTTTCATATATGCAGGCTGGTAAATGTAAGGCAGGCATTACAGCTGTGAGTTTGTCACCAAAAACTAAGCTGAAGGGAGACTAAGTACAGGAGATTGACAAGAATACGACCTAGTCACTCTCAACAACTTTGTTCTCCTTCGTAATAAAGCAACTTCTCTTGTATTTTTGCAGCCAGAATTCCTTGGCCTTTACAGTGGTCAGACAGAAAAGATAGAAGAAAAGGGATGATATAAAAAATGTCATAGTTAAAGTTTTATTAACTTGCTATAGGCTACAAAAGAGGACTGCAGCCTCCTTAAGCAACATTTGTTTATTTTGATAGGAAGAATACTTTAGCACTGACTGCACTTCAAATCACAAAATGCAAAGTCAATTTTGGAAGCAAGAGCTACTCTAAAGAATCAACCACATGTTCAGGAGGAGGAGATCTGAGCAGTTGGCAAATCAAATAGACTTCACTAGAACAACATACTGCTTCTATTTGAAAAAACATCCTTGGTCAGTGCATGTTTAAACCCAGTGAGACCTGAGCAGGTACTTGAAGTTAAGCATACACTGAAGTCTTTTTCTGAATCAGATACATATGAGGAAATAGTTATCAGTTGGAATACGGTATTTGTCTTCTGGTTCATCCCTTTTTCCTCCTGGAATTTTTAGAGTTTGAAATATCCTGTGCAAATAATCCATCTAAATAAACATGGAGGTGCTTATGTAATCATACGTGTACAGAGACTGCAAAGAACATTTTCATTTTATAAACACAATATTCACCTTCAAGGCTAAACAATTTACTAAGACCATTTGTTTTTAAATTGATTGATGTTTAAAGAACTGCCAGATGGAAGTTGTGCGTCTCCCTTTGAGTGGTGAAGTAATACCTTACACATACTAATTCCAAGAAAACAGCTATCTTATCTATCATCCATGTTATTAAAATTATTATTAATAGCAGTATTTGCATGCTGGGTAAAGCAAATATTTGGAACAGGGCATGAATATAAGACCATTATGCCATTAGTACCACTCTCTTTTACTTCTGTGATTAAGGCTGTAAGGATTCAGAAAACCTTCTTATCAGATTTCTTGAATTCCAAAGGTTTTAGCTGTGAAAAATCAGCTCATGCAAAGAGGAATCATTAAAGAAAAGATACTATCATTTTTATCCACGTCAGTCAAAACTCACGCCAAAAGAATTTCCACTGAAATAAAAGAGATTGTTCATCAAGTCAAGCCAGTTCTGTATAAATGCAGGTGGAAGAATGATGTATGGAGTTTTTAAGCATACTCCTGCTCACTTGTTCCCAATTTACAAAATAGCCTGCATGGCCACTTCAGTTTCCAAGTCATGGCAGGATCACAGTGTTGATCCAAAAGTGCATGCCTTTACATCTGCAACTGAGATAGCATCTCTAGCAAGTGGGATCACTGCACGACTGAACATCCCTAAGACCTCAGTTGAACATCCTACAGTGTTTAGGCCATAGCCAACTCCAGCCTAAGATTTTATGACCCTTCACAATCTTGCAGCAATGGTATTGCCATCCCGCTTCACTTTCACTTCCCCACGTTTGCTACATATTTTGGCACAATCTTGTTCTAGCTGTGAGGTTACAGGAATGAATGAAGAAAAGTGGTTGGAGCAGACAGGAACATGAATCAGCAGCAGCTGAAACAGTCCATTTGACTACACTCAACCTGAGCAGCAGTGCCAAAGTCACACATCAACTTGCAAGCTTATTTAACTAGCTGTCTGTGATCCAGCTGGGTGTGTTACTGAACAAAGCTATTTTTCTCATCCATTACTGTGGTCTATAGCAATGAAGAGGAGAAAGACTGTCATAAACTAGAATGATTCAATACAAAGTTGAAGCATTCTTGCAATATATAGTCACAGATACAAATAATGATTTATAGGTTATATGCAAAGCCTAGAGCCATCAATAGCATTATAAAAACAAGTATTTGACAGTTACACAACAATTTTTCTTACCCTAGTTCAGTTCCTCTGTGATAGTTTTTGAGAGACGATCAAATATTTTCTAGCCCTAGCCCCATTCATCCCATACCAGATCCATGCCACAATAACTTTTACAATCCACTCACAATGCCTTAAACCACACATCTGTTGTTTCAAATATGCAAACTCATTACCCTGACAGGCATTTATTCTACATGTGGGCAGAAAAGCCTGAAGTCTTGACAATGCACAAAGGTAATCTGATTTTAGAACCTGACTTTGTTGGCTTATATTTATACTGGGGAACCTATCTGACACCACTAACCAATAATATCTTTCTTTAATCTCCTTCTAAAATGCCTAGGCTGCTGGAGATCATACCAAGTAATCAATCTCCAAAGAATAAAATTAAAGTAAAATATTTCGAAGTGTATGTTACAAAAAACTACTGTGATACTAGCTTTAGAATATTAGAGAAACAAAACACAGCTACAACATACCTTGAGCAGTCTCAATATAGCATTCGTACATAATACAAAGACACACAAAGTTCACTAATATTACCTGGAAGACACTTCCCAAACGGCTACAGAAAATAGCAAGATGTTGGGATACTCATTCAAAACATAAAATAGGAAATATCAAATGTGTGGAACTGCTCCATGTTGGTTTCAAACAGCAGGGGAATTAAGTACTTTCTCCCAGTTGTAAACACGATCTTTAGAGAGCTCAGAGATTTCAGTCACTTGTAGTAAAGACTGCAGTCTATGTGCAGTCTCCATCTTTCTTTTCTTCTCATCAGATATTTAAAACTCAAGACGAAATACAGGAGGAACTCAAAGTATAAAAATTATCTAAATGTGAGAAAGTAAAGAATGCCATTGGAGAAAAGTTATGGTTGGAAATCACTGGGATTGTATAAGCTATACGGACCAGCTAATCCTGGTAACTACAGAGAGCACTCAGAGGAAGAGGAAAGCTGTGTTTAACAAGAGGCCCATTAACTTCAACTTCCATGGAAGAATAATACTGAAGAGAAAATATAATTTACCTCAAGAGTGAAAGAAGCCAACAAATTGTAATTTTTTCATGTCACAAAATGTCCCTATTGTTATAATGGCACTTAATGTACCGTTAGCTTCTCATATACCTGCATCTCATGTCCATAATTCATACACCATAAGTATTTATCATATCACATTTTGTTCATCTTTTTCATTGTGCTTTTTCAAATAACTAAACTTGAATCGTGATTTCTACAATAACATTTTTCCCTCTGGAGAGTACGTTTAAAAGAATAACAGAATAAAAAGGACTGATTCTCAAATTTGCTGACACTGCTGTCGATACTAAATGAATCAACTAATTGCATGCTGAAAAGCAAACTATAAGGAAGGTATCCAAACGCTAATCTTTCCCTTTAGTGGGAATCCTTAATGTTAACTTTCTGCTACACAAACTGATTTGAAATAGCAATGGATAAAAATCATTCAAACTGATCTGGTTAGTTTCTTTTTTTTTTTTTTTTTTAAAGGGTGAATTTTTTTCCTGCTTTTTCTCCTGACTCATGAAAGACACAACAGAGTGATGTGGATGATGTGGTGAAAGCTCTGCAAAAAACTCTACTTAAGTCAAGGGCTAGGGGAAGTGGTCACTCTGCGAGGTCATTTTCCTGTGAGACTATGTGACAGCTGGAGAAAATTAGCCAAAATATCTGCATTCCAGAGAGGTATAAAAAGAAGGAAGAAAGGGAGGGAGGGGTCAAATGTCTTGTGGAAACCTGTAGGAACAGCAATGGCATTTTCTGCATGGACTTGCTCAATCTGGTTTCCTGAAAAAGTCCGACTGAAACAGGAGACTTTTAAAGTCTGAGAGGGTAGTCAGGCACCCAGTTTCTTTAAAAGTCAGCAGGACATTCATTAAATTTGAGATGATTAGCTGTATTGGATCAGTTCTCCAGCGCTGGTGCAGGGACCACACAGAAATCCTACTCCTAACTTTATTACCATTTAAAGATTTACAGATCAGACACGCTTCTAGAATGGAAGAACTAGGAAGGGAGAAATAATGCCATGGTAATGAGACAGATTCTTTGATTTCCATGTTCATAATTGTCAAAGAAATAGGCAGGGAATAACACATTTTCTTTGATGAGAGTTTTGAATCCCTGATACTGTTTTTTTTGTTTTGCAGTAAAATCAAAACAAAAACATTGAAATATTTTGAAAATTAATTTGTACTGTCTTAAAAATAAAACACACAAGCTTTTATGTAAGTTAGCTGTACTTCTCCCTGATTAGACACAACCTGAGCCTGAAATCCAAATCCTGGCACAATTAGCATATTATAGTGAAACTTTTGATTCTGATAAAGCAGAATATTAATTGAAACCATACCTTCCTCCTTCTGAAAGCTTCCATTCCCTTGGATCTTCTAATCCTTTCAGACTACTCTCTGAAATAAAAGAAAAAAACAGAAAATAAGTCTCATTGAGATGAAAAAGTTTGCTGTCCTAACTTCAAACAATAGCAGGAGAAATCAGTTCATACACGAACGAAACTGTGCCTCAGCCTATCTGCAGTTCGTGCTCAGGAACTCCTTCAGCATAAATAAGAGAGACAGAAGAAATAAGGTAGGAGTCAGTAAATGACTCCCACAAGAAGAGTAAGGATGCAGTCTAAAGTGATTCAAAAGCAAAATTAAGACTTTTTCAGACTCCCAACAATTACAGTTGAGTTTTTAAAATAGAGCAGCTGTCATTTGGGCAACTAAATGAGGACCATATTTTACAGACTGGACTATGATCGCGTTCATGGGAGATTTCATATTCATTACACGAAGGATAATATAACATAATTCTAAATTAAGAAAAGTTAAATAGTCTCCAGAATGTTATAAAAGGATTTCACAGAGTCTCCAACACCTAATTCAGTAACACTATAATCTTCCCATTGCAAAATACAAGGGTATGTCTCTCATAGCTTGACCATTTCGTTCCAAATCTCTAGTGTGCAGATAGCACAATGTCCCTGCTCCTCCTCTAACCTCATTTTCTCTGTCAGTTTATCACTTTTGTGGAGTGAAAAGAAAATAGAATCTGATTAAGGAAGATAGATCTATTTATTTTTTTCGTAAAAATATATTTTGACTTGTCCTTTTTCTCCTCTTCTTTTTCCTTCGGATAATAAATAACTGTGAAGGAAGAAAAAGTTCCAAAAAGAAAAAGAGAGATGTGAAAATTTGCACTGCTAACACTATTTAGTGTTAACCCTACAGTGTACTGCTTTGGGATCTGGTACAGATATTTTCCAGGTAGTTCAAAAAAAGCCCCGCTTAGAGAGAAGATAATGGATTAAATAAGCGTGAGGTGCTCCAAAATCACATCTAAACGTCAAGTTAAACAAAATTAACTGTTTAATATAAAGCATGTTGCATTAACTTCCTTTTTAAAGAAGGTATTTTATTCTTGCACTTCTGTTTTATTTTTTAAATGAACCAGAAGCAGAAGTTTGAAATGTCATGTGAAATTCTGTTCTCATGAGGCTGCTGCTTGAGTTTTACCTCAGCAGGATTTAGAGAACTTCAGAAACTTTAGATAATCTGCTTAGCTTGTTATCTGAACCAAAATGCTGAACCTCTTTTAAGAAGTACTCATATTCCTATCTTTACCAGACACCTTTTTTTTTTTTTTTTTTTTTTTTTTTTTAAATCCATCACTGCCTTTGGGCCATCATAAAACTTTTCCCCACACTGGGTATTTTTCTTGACCTGGTCACGACTGCTTATCTCTGCCATGAGTGCCAAGTTCACCAGCATAGCTTTCCTGCGTACTCTGATCATTTATTGGTGTTCATAAGGAAGGAAAAGGAAAACAATTCATGAGAAACTTTCCATATTTCTGTCTCACTATTTTTATTGTGGTTAATTTGCTTAATTTTTAAAAGGTAAATATGGGAATATATCTACTGACATACTATTATCTGTGGTTGTTTATATATGGAGGACAAACCTTTTCCTTCACCCAAAGCCAAAACAAACAGATCTTGTACAGACAAGTCCTGAATTGATTGAGAGTGATGGACGCCTAGCCACAGGCTGCAGAGCTGTTCCCCACCTATTTAGTGCACTGGAGGTATGCTCTTCTGCAAAGACACTGTTTCACATCAAACCTGCAGTTAATAGCTTTCAGCCTTGATTGGAGCACTTTCAGGTTAGCGACATTTTTGTTTTTACACTCTTTCTTAGAAGAAAGACGTGACTTATTCTTATACCAAGATATTTGGTCTGTTTACCTACCCTGACTTTCAGACTTCTAACTGTGAAAGCACCACAAGAAGATGGATAATTTTGCCTCATAAATTTGCTTCAAGAAGATGTTTTCAAATCTGCCAACTTTAGACAGCAAATGATGTATGCAAAAGCCCTTCACAAGTTTTTGAATTTATAGATATTTACAAGCACAACATTATGCGAGAGTATTACAAACAACGAAGAAAACCCCACAAAATTATTCACTAACAATTTTCCTGATTCTTCACAGAATTCTGTGTTTGAAGGTATATAAAGAAAAGTCATTTGTAAAAAATCAACTATACATCCCCAAATTGGTCATTCAGTGTTCTGCTGAGTGAATAAACACTTGATGATATCAAATTAATAACCAAATATACTACTGCGAGCATATGTATTTGATAGAATAATAGACTGATGTTGAAGCTCTGAGGATCTGTGAACTGTAGTGTCTACAGTACAATTGAAAACTGAACCAAATGTTCATTAAAAGTTACTAATATTTACCATTCTGGGTGACCTACAGTATTTGCTTTCAGTCAAGAGCTTCCCTCATCAGAAACCTATTTGTCCTGTATTATCATTTAAAGAAGAGTCAACAATCCTTTGAATTATTTTCCGCTACCAGGAAGGTGATTAGGTTATGATTATTTTTGTTCCATGGATCAATCTCCAATGCCTTGCATACAGAGACTTAAAGTGCTACCATTAGCAATTCACGCCCACTTGCTGTCCATAAATGACTTTCAAGGTTCAAGGCAGTGGAGTGTAAAACTGCTGACTTAACTGCTGGAGCACTGAAGAAGAGAAGAAACTGGATGAGACAGAGCAAGTCCTAAATGCCTTCCATAATTAACAAACATGGCAAGACAAGTTATGGAAAACAAAGGGACTAGACAGATTTATGCTTATAGTCTGGTACTTCTGAAAGTTTGTCCAACTACAAAATCCTCTTTTGATCTACATTAATTGAAAGCACTTAAAATTCAATCATACATTTATGGCCACATGTTTAAAACTGAATCCTAATCTTGCATTTGTAACCTACTGGTCAGACTGGAATGCTTCCCTTCTGCATCCAGCTTACCAAGGTTACAAATCTAATGACTGTCTTTAGTTTCAGCTGTAGAGTTTCATACTTGTGGCTTTGAAGGTCCCTATATTTAATCCTAAATTGTATCCACAACTATAGTGGTCAGAAATCTCCAGTAGCTTCTGACAACAAAGCCCTGAGGAAGCAGTAAGCCATTTGCAGAGAAACACACTTGTTCTGGTTTAGTTTCTTAATGCAATAAGAGAACATGACTCATAGAATCATACAATCCTTAGAGTTGGAAGGGACCTCTGAGGGCCATCTAGTACAACTCCTGTTCAATCCCATATGATGCAGTGGCTTGTGAGCTGCCCCAATGTGGAGGCAGCAGTCTCTGTGTTTTTGTTCACAGGTAGGAGAACAATGAAAAAGAGCTAGCAGCCCGAAGTAAACAAAATCAAACCACTGTGCAAACCATTGTGAAGGGATACAGTAAACTTCTTTTTTAATCAGATATGGGAAAAAGGAAGAACAGGTATGCCAAAGAGCTGCATTTCGTCCCAAGGTCATTCTCAGATTAAAAGCTGCAAGGTAAACATTATGTACTTCTAGACAATGGGACTCCATCTGATGTTACAGGAACTAGCAAATCGAGAACTGTTTTCCTGAATCCCCTAATATGCACCAACAGCAGCACTGAAAACTCTCATTAGTTGCACCGTTTGTGTATACTACGGTCCAATTCATAGACCTCCCTAAGCACCAAAAGGTAAGAAATTCTACTTGAATATTTCATGATGTTATGTATGGGGAAGAGCTCTGTTAAAGAGCTGGCACTATTTTCCTGTCTTGGCTAATAGTTTTTGTGACATGCGTAAGGGAGACCAGATATTTGTACCCATTATATGTAAGGATTTTTTGCCCAAGGACAACTTGTAAAACCCATTAATATGAATTGTGTTTGAGCTGACGGGGAAAAATAGAAAACACTGAGTCCAGACCTTCAGTACTTTACTGGTGTTTCTGAACTTTTATTAGCTGTACTTGCTTCCATAAAATCTATTTAATAAGGCAACCGATGTTTTGGTAATGCATCAAAAGCAGTTCTCTTCAAAGGGCATCTTTTTCACTCAATCTCTTCTCTAAAGACAGTGACATTAGTTTTGTAAATTAATAAACAGGCCAGCATCTGAGGACTGCATGAAGCCTCCATCACCCCTCATTGTGCTTTCTCTTCTGACCCCACTTTCCAGTGCAGGGCCCTCATCTCAACAACAATACCCTGAAAGCCTGTGTGGCACTCTGGGATCACACTTGAAAAGGCCTTTGGCTGAGGCTGGCTTTCAAGAAGAGGGGACAATTGGCAAGAGGCCTGTGGCTATTCATGCAGAACAGGCAGTGAAAAATGCCTGAAGTCAGTTTCAGGGGTGGGCAATGCCCAAAAAAGAAAGCCCACATAACATGAATGGCTGCTGCTAGGAGACTAAAACCAAAGGCATGCTACTAGCAGGCCTCCATGTGCCGACATCAATGGGTTCATCCTATCCCTATTAGGGGCCTAAAATGATGAAGAAACATGAGAAGGGACTATAAGCAGGAAAGGAAAATAATACCAAAGTACACAACGGTCAATGCTTATATTGTTATACTAAACGCTCAGGAGAAGGAAATAATATTTTCTACATTCACTACCTTTTCTTTTAACAATAGTTACATCAGCTACAAAATCCAATAAGCAAAATAACCATGGTACATTTTCTCGGGGGAGGAAAGCTATGCACTTTCATGATTAATTATTTCTCGTGCACATAATTAAGAGTGATTTCAAACACATATTAGAAAAGCCAAGGCAGCATTGCAATGGTTCTGGACCTGGTGCTGGAGCAGTTCCAGTGCCCCTGGATGTGCATGCAAGGTCCACTTGCTTCAATCCCAGCAGTACAGGTCAGAGGGAGATGGGAGGTCTAATGGCTTATAACTGAAACCACCATCATGCGCCACAAAAGCATTTCAGTGGCATACAAATGACCCAGACCTGCTCAGTGTTAGTGAGCCCGCGTGTGCTGTCTGCAGCATGGATCCAATGTGGTGAAAGGTCTACAGGCCTGAAAATTAACTGTGAAGAATTTTC